GTCCCTAATTTAGCAGTGTAAGACTAGAGGGAAGGCAGCTAGTCATCACCACCCACCGCCAACTCTTGGGCTACTCTTTTACCAACGAATAGTGGGATTGACCGTCACATTATAACGCCCACACGACTGAAAAGGCGAGCATGTTTGGTGGTACGTGAATTCGAACCCGCGCCTCTCAGATTGCGGGTCGAGCGCCCTAACCACCTGGCCATGCCCGGCCGGAGTAGTTAAATTGAATGATGTGTTTCCTAATTTATATTCAAATAGCTAGCCGTTGCATTTCGATCAGAATTATACACCTTTCCTGGTATATGTTTTATTAACAAACTCGTACTTTCCGTGGAAATTTGAAGTCAATAAATTATCAAAAAGGTTTTCTGTCTTAATGATAGTTGCTGTCTTTAGAAGATTACCTAGTTGGCTGAGAGGTTTTCTGCTATTAAATTAAATGAACTGTTTTCTACGCTTGAACTAGAATTGTTGTGGGGGGAGGGGTGTTCAAAGTTTACGTGAATGTTTCAGATTAACCTGTCTCCCTCGCAATTTTCTCCCATTACTACTGGGTGCTTTAAGAAACACGTTTTTCATCCAATTGTTGAATTATATAGCCATCTATCTTTTACGTGACGCACATTTTCTCTGTGAAAATTGTTACAATAAAAACTTTAAACTGCCGAGGTGTATAATGTTTTTCAAGATACAGTTTAATCTAATCTTGTACTGTGTAACGTTTTCGAGCTCAACTACACATTAGAAGAAGTAGTTACCTGAATATTAGCGTGTCTAAAACCTGTTGGGATGTTCAGTTGTCCCCATGGTTTCCTCTTTCTCCATTTCCTTTCCATTGCCCAAGGGGACTCTTCTAATTGTATACTCAAATCTTCTGTATTCACGTGAGAAGTGGAACATGAACGAGGAAGCTACTATTATATAAAACACAAAAGGTAAATTGCTTCTACCAACCTCTCTCCTGCGTGTCGCCACACGAAGATTACTTTTATTCAGTTTATTTCTTGTGGCACTACCCTAAAATAGTCCCATGTGTATCTCGTGGCGTAGATTTCATAGTCAAATAGTCGAACTATGAAGGCATATATATATATATATAATGAGTAGCTCTCGTTGTCCGACTTTACTTTAATGATAGAAAAGCTAATTATGAAAAAAAAAAAAGATGAAATATTTTATATTTAAGGTACAATCAATACTACTACTATTACACGTGTTGTTTAATAGCATTTCATTTTTGTTGTTGTTTGCTTATAACTAATATTAATCTAATTGTTTTTCAAAATTAATAGGTTAAGGCTACATTTCCTTTGTGTATTGATAGTAAGACTGAATTAGAAACTTTTGTACTGTGTAATTAAGAATATGTAATAATATTACGTGACCTATACAATATATATATAAGCACCAATATACCGGTTATAAAAAACTTTTTTTTACCTCTTTTTTTCCTATGGACAAGCTAATATAAGTACATGCGATAATAATGTTTCCCCGGTGGAACAGCGGTAAGTTAACGAACTTACAACGCCAAAATTTGAGGTTCGATTCCCCGCGGTAGACGCAGCAAATAGTCCAAGGTAGCTTTGCTCTAAATCAGCGTTTCCCAAACTTATATCATCCTCGCCCCACTCTATAAATATTTCCTTCATACGCGCTCCTCTCTTTTTTAAAATGAGTGAAAGAGTGAGTTAAGTGACGATATGTAATACACGGATATGCATCAAAATGATATGTGTGTTGCAGTAATTACTTATAATTTTTAGTAAAAATATATTTACAAGGTGTACTTCCGTAGAGCCCTCGAAAATGTTCTGTTTCAAGAGTAAATAAAACCAAAATTAAAAGTTACAAATATTTTTATTTCTTGCTTTTTGAAGTTCATATGTCATGCTATGTTGCAACCTACAGAATGCATAATTTTTCTCGTGATTCATGGCATGCGCACGTTTTACTGACGTCACTACAGTACAAATTGTGACGTTAAGCGTCCCTTATGTGACGTTATTTTAGTTCTACTGACTGACTGACTGACAGATAGCACTATTGTGTAGTGATACAAGTGGTTCAAACAGGTGAAAATAAAACGCTTAATTTTACATATTGCGCTATTGATTCTCCCAATCGCTCGTGTCCCCACCCCACCCCCCACCTGGGAGGCGCTGTCCACACTTTGGGAAACTCTACTCTAAATCAAACGATAACAATGGTACTAGTTTATTTATTTACTGACTGTAATTATTTGAAATTGTAGTTTTGGCGAGCTTTCGACTTATGTGCTGAAACTTTTATCAGCCGTGCACATATAATACAAACAATATGGAAACTACAAAATACAGATTATAAAAAAACACATATAATACAAACAATATGGAAACTACAAAATACAGATTATAAAAAAACACATATAATACAAACAATATGGAAACTACAAAATACAGATTATAAAAAACACATATAATACAAACAATATGGAAACTACAAAATACAGATTATAAAAAACACAATACAAACAATATGGAAACTACAAAATACAGATTATTAAAAAACTTACGTATGTAGTAAGAAGATTATTTTAGTTAAAACGATCGTAACATGTTCAGTTACTTCTATTTTATCTTGTAACAAAAGTTTAATGTGTGCTAAGGAAATTTTGTAAACAAAATCTGTATGTGAAATGATCCAGATATCAAGGAAACACTGTCTAAACAACAAAAGTTAAACTGAAAGAATTTATTTCTTACAGAATTTTTACTAAAGAAGAAACTGACAGTTGTTCATCAGTTCCACTCTCATTTAGAACCCATGAAAATCATGAAGCCAGAAAATTACCAGGATCAGGTGAGAATATTGTTTAATTTTTTCTCTTGTTGCCACCTCCCTCGCATGCTAAAATATTTAAACTGTAAACACGTTTTGTACTTTAATATATTAGTAATATAAGTATATCAACAACATTTGATTTTAGAGCATGAAATTTCAGCTTTTTCCGCATAAGCAATGCACGTTGTTATGTAAACTGTATTTAATAACTACCTTATTTTGTCTCGTGCGTTATACCAGTACTTTGAAATCCGTGTCGTATACTAGTCAACAACTGACTATTTAATGCGATGTTTGTGAGCTAGGTGACATTGTAACCTCCCACAGATACAAATGTAGAAGCATCTTGTACAATGTTATGAATCGTTCCTAACACTGATGTTAATGTCTCATTTGCATCCGAAACGTTTGCTGTCTAGTAAAGTGATTAGGTGGTCCCTAATGTGTGGGCAGGTTATTTTAAGCGCTAGTGATGTTTCTGGTAATATAATTAGCATTCAGTGGCGCTAGTAACACAAGTATTAGGTGGTCCCTAATGTGTGGGTGGGTTATTTTAAGCGCTAGTGATGCTTCTGATAATATAATTAGCGTTCAGTGGCGCTGGTAACACAATGATTAGGTGGTCCCTAACGTGTGTGCTATTTTAAGTGCTACTGATGTTCCTACTAATGTAATTAGAGCATTCATTGGCACTACTAGTAATAATATAAGATTTAAAAAAGTTCCAAGAGAAGTTCTGGGAATCGTTAGTCTTTGAGTGTAAAACTGAAAGTCATCAGGATTCTTGGCCTTTTCTATATTAGAAATGAACGTAACATTAAGATTGACCTTAACATGAAGTAGAACTAGGTACAGACTTTATCGCTCAACTGGAAATAGAGAAAGAGTAACCAAACAATGTTTATCGTGTACTTAACGTTGAAATATAATTGTATAGAGGCACAAAAATTCAGTCAGTTATGAAAAAGTTTGCTAAAATACAGATGGAGAAGGGATAACTAAAATGTATGCATTGTCCTTTATTTGACCTTGAAATGTAATAGTATGGAGGTCAAAAGTTCAAAATTACAGGTATTAACGCTCCATTTCTACATTTCAAGCAGAGAAGAAGTTAAATTTAGCGTGACGACTGACCTGTACTTATCTTTGAAATAGTGTAAAGATAAAAAGGTCAAAGTCACAGCAGTTATTTTTATAGT